CCGACATTGGCCGCCATCGCATTGCTGTCGATGCCTGCGCCGCGCCCGGCAACAAGACGACGCAGCTCGCCGCGCGCCTCGCTTTGGCTAACCCGTCGTCGTCAGTCGTTGCGTTCGAGCGCGCGCCGGCGCGGGCCACGTCGCTCCGGAACACGGTCGCCAAGGCCGGCGCCAACGACCGCATCTCGGTGGTCGAAGCCGACTTCCTCGAGACAGACATGACCAAAGGGCCGTGGGCCGACGCGACGCTGGCGATCTGCGACCCGTCGTGCTCGGGCTCGGGCAACGTCGCGGTGGGCGAGCCGATGCCCGAGCACTCGGCCGACGAGCTCACGGCGTTTGCCGACCATCAATTTGCGATCGTCCAGCAGGCCATGGCGCTCCCCAAGATGCAAACGGTGGTCTACTCGACGTGCTCGGTGCACGAGGTGGAGAACGAAGGCGTCGTCGCCCGTCTCCTCAAGACCCATGGCGCCAACTGGGCGCTTGTCTCGGTGCTACCGAATTGGCCCGAGCGCGGTGTCGAGACCGACGCGCTCGCCCCCCGCGTGACCAAGCGCTGCGTGCGGGCATCCCACGCCCAGCACACCCACGGCTTTTTCGTGAGCTGCTTTGAGCGGCGGTCCGCGGAAGTTGAACCGGTGCCAATGCCGTCACGCAAGCGGCCGGTCGAAGCGGTTGCAGCCCCGACGACGGCCCCCAAGAAGAAGAAGCAGAAGAAGAAGAAGCAGAAGACGAAGCAAACGAACACCAACGATGCGTAGAACACCAAGAGACGGAGCTATCGCACCGCTAGTGTAGTCACCTCGTCTTGTACACAACTTGTTGGAACGCGTGGATGCAGTAGGGGGTACTAGGAGGGAGAGGGACGCAAGTGATTAAATCAAGAGACTCGGACGCGCGAGTAGAGGACTGGGAACTAGGATGCTTGCATCGGGCCGTCGAGGCGGTCGCGTGGCGGGTTGAGCTTTTGGATCTTGACCATCGCATCCTCCTTGACCGAGCTAGCATGGATCCGAGATGAGAAAGCTAGGACATGGTGGGTGGAGACAATAAATACCTGAGATCGTTGGGGGTCACAAAGATAAATTGCTTGCGCGAGGCCTGCTTGGACGTCTCGACGAGCAGCTGCAGCGTGTGCGTGCGGTTGATACTGTCCATGAACACGTCGAACTCGTCCATGACACGAAACGGCGACTCGATGCACTCGCCTGCATCGCATCATGAGCCTCGTTTGCAGGTACAGGGCTCGTTTGGAGTACCAAGTGCCATGAGAAGCGCGACTTGGGTATAACTCCGCTCGCCGCCCGAAAGCTGCTTCATGTCGCTGACCATCGACTGTTTGGTCTTGCCGGCTTCGTTGGCCATAATGTTGATGTCGAGCCTACAAGCGTACGTGTCAGAGATCAAACTTTAATCACGAAAATGAGTCGCAGTACCGCTGCTCGTCGTGAAGGAACTTGAGCTTCCCCGCAAAGTTCTTGGCTTGCATGAACTTGTTGAAGCCAATTGACGTTCGGTTGGCAATTTCGATGCGGAGGTTTTCCCACTTGCGTTTCCGCGCCGCGAGCATCGTCGCGACCGTGTTGACGTTCTCTTCAAACTATGCATCATAGCGTTGGAATTCCACTTCATCAAAATGTGTCGATCCGCATTACCCGAGTAAACTCGATGTTCTTCTTGAAATACTTCATGGTCTTCTCCTCCTTGTCCAAGTGGAGCTCGTCCAGGTCCATGTTGTCAAACTTTCGCTTCTCGCGCTCCATGCGTGTCTACGGCCATGGACGATGAGCCAAAATGGAGACGGATCGGTGTGCATACCTGCACGTCCTTGATCTGCTGGCTGTAAAACGCCGGTGGCTCGGTGCAGTTATCCACACGGGGGCAGAATGCCTTGGCTTTCGCCATCGTCGTCGATACGAGCTCTTCTTGCTCGGCGACTTCGGCCGATCGCGCAGCCACTTGCTTGGCCACCTCTTTTTGGTCGTGCTTGGCCCGGAGAAGCTTGGCCGTCGCGCTTGAGAACGTTGCCATCGCAGCCGTCACGTCGTTTTGGAGCTCTTGAAGATGCGCGTCGAGCCCACGGGCGTCCTTTTGAACCCGTGCAAGCTCGTCTTCTTTCTGTTGGAGCTCGGGATTTGACGATGTGAGCTCGCTCTCCAGTCGCTGCAGCTCGGTGATAGTCTGCTGGATCTCCGTCTCGAGCTCGGCTTGTTCTTCTTCTAGCAGCGTCGTATCGCCGAGGTTGCTCTACGCACAATATGCCCATCAGCATTTTATAAGCTTGTCTAATGACTAGCACAGACCTCGCTTGGGTCCTGCGTCTGTCGCTGCAGCGCGTGGAGATCGTTCTCGGCGCGGTTGAGCTCACGGCTGGCCGCGTCCAAGCTCGCTGTGTGTTGCTGCATCTGCTTGCGCAAGTGCTCGCGCTTGCCGCGGAGGTTGTCTACGCATCGATGAGCCTCGAATCGTCCTAAATAAGAAGCAGGCGTGTCCGTACGCTCGTCCCGCGAAAGGGCTTGGAGGTCGTTCTTCTGGCGCTCGAGGCGGCGGTTGATGTCGTTGATCTCGCCCGCGTTGTCTTGCGACAAGATACGCGCGTGACGCTGTCCCTTGTTGGCAATGTAAGCCACGTTGCCGTTGCGCACTAGGAGCTTGTCGCCACTGGGCATGTAGACCTCCGAGACGCCCTGCGAAAAGCGCTGTCGCCCTGGCGGCCCTCCATCGTCGCGTCCTCGGCCTCTTTGCGCGTCGCGTACACGAGCTTGGTCTCGATCTTGGCCACGTCCACGAGCGCATTGTACGCATCCGGATTTTCAAAGTCCAAGAGTGAGACCACCGCATGATCACCCAGAGGGCCACGGGGAATGTGCACATTTTCGTACCGCCGGCCGGTGCGCTTGGCAATCAAGATATTTGCCTGGCTCGGCGGAACGTTGATCTGACGCTTGAGGTTGTCCAGGACGTTCTTGTCCCGGCCGTTGGCGACGAGGTAGCTGCCAATCACGCTCTTGAGCACGACTTCGACTGCAACCGCCTATCAATCACGGTTAGTCCTCGACCAAAGAGCGATAAAGGAAGGTCCTACGTAGTCTTGGTACTGGGGCTTGAGGCTAAAGTACATGCCAAGCGGTCCAATCGGCGGCGCCGAGAACTTGTGCAGGTTGTCTTGGATCAATTGCTGAAGTCTGGGAATCTGGTTGCCAAACGTGACAAGCCTATGCACCATACATCGTCGGCGCGTTCGAGCCTGTAGGAAAACCTACTTGTTCTGGCTCTGCGACTCGAGCGCGCGGAGGCGCGAGGTCAGACGCTCGACCTCGTTGCTTGCCTCGCGCTTTTGCTGGCTGCACGCGACGTACTGGCCTTCGACGTCGTCGAGCTCCGATGCAAATTCTTCCATCGGCTTGGACTAGACCGCGTTATAAGGACGACGCTTGATGGCACCTCAATGTACCTCGATCTCACGCTTCTTGGCTTGCACACGATGAAGGTGCTCCTGGGCGCGCTGGATGCCCTCGGCTTGCTGTGCTTGCTGCTTTTCGAGTGACCGGAGGTATTGCTGGTACTTGGCACGGCGCTGCTCCTTCTCATGCTCGATGCGCTTTAAGCGAGCTTGCGACTGCCGAATCTGATGCTCCATAGTGTTCTTGGCTACAACAAACACACGTGAGTGTGCATCGAAATGTATCAACGACGGCGAGCCTACCAGCATGCTTCTTCTGCATCGGTAGCCGCAGCTCGCGGATTTCCTGCTGCAGCGCTTGCTGTTGGCGCTGAAACGCTTCCTTTTGCGCATCGACCTCCTGGAGCGCATTGTTCTTTTCCGACTGCTCGGCCCGGCGCGCATCGACCACTTGTTCTCGCCGCTGCACCTTCTCGGCAGCGACTTGCTGCAAATGCATGACTTGGTCAAGCTAAACCATGCATGAGACATGCGTCTTGATCGACGGAATCAGGATACCTGTGCTTGGACGTCTTGTAGCGACAGTTCCTGGGCGTTAACGAACGACCATGCGAGCGACTGCTTGAGATCGACGAGCTCCTCCTTCAAGTGGCCAATCTGTTGCGAAAGGAGTGAGCGCCTCGACGTGCGAGAGACCATTCGTGGCGTACGCTCTTGGCTTCTTCGTACAGACGCTCGGCATCTTCCTTGGCCTTGAGAAGCGTCTTGAGCTTGCGCTCTTCCTGGACAAGCGTCGACTCCTGCCGCAGGCGCGTCTCATCTGCGACTTTGGCAAACGTGGCACGCATCTTGTAGAGATCCGTCGATTGCAGAAAAAACTACATGCATCAAATCGTTTGAGGTTCATCGGGATACATCGTACCTTGTACTTGTCGGTCGGGTCGCCCTTAAGGAAGAGCTTGGCGTTCTCCTGGTCGAGCACGGCGCAGGGGTTCTCAATCTATGACATGTAAGGAAAAAGCATGTCAATGCGTTTCGCGTCTACCTGGATGTTGAGGTGATCGAGCATCGCTTCGAGGTCCGACTTGAGCTTCGAGACGACCTTGCCATGCTCGTTCTTAAGGCGGTACTCGGCCGTGCCATCGCGACGGATGAGACGCTCGACCATGATGCGCTTCCCAAACGACTCGGGGCGGAACGCGTCCGTGCCTTGGGCTACATGGCAGTATGAGGCGATTGCAAGACGCCCATAAGCTTGTCTACCGTCATTGAGGAGCGTAATGCGCACGATCGCGTTGCCATCATGGCCGTTGCGGATGAGGTTCTTGATGCTCTTGCCGCGATGGGTCGCGCGGGCGGACGCACCAAGGCAGATCTGCAGCGCGGCAATGATCGCACTCTTCCCGCTCCCGTTCTCGCCCGTAATGAAGTTGATGTTGCGGCAGAGACGGATGCACATGCGGCGATGGCACATGAAGTTCTCGCAGTAGATCTCCTCGATGATGCCCATCTCGGACGCGGTCGCCGGCTCGGATGGGCTCGGGCTCGGGCTCATCTCGACCGCGCTGTTCCCGTCTTCGTTCTCATCGCCCTCGCCGTCATCTTCGGAAGGGTTCACGAGCTCATCTTCGTCGGCCGCCATGCGCATGGCGGCCCGGCGCGGGTCGTCTGTCGCATTGATCTTCCTCGCCTTGGTCGCCATGGGGCTGTTGGAACTTTACGCAACGTACAAAATGGAGGTTATTTTACGATGTTTTATTCAGCATACAAATCCCAAGATAGTTGGGATGAAAACCCATTCAATGGCGAGCGACCGCGATGCGATTGGCCATTGTGGTCTCGCGCCAATTTTAATTTAGAACGGCCAGGCGTAGCTAAACACACGCACCTTCATTTCATACGTAGGACAAGATCTACGATCCACATCAATGCCGTCAACGTTTCAAGTTGGCTATTCGCACCCAGATTGGAAGATCGCGCGCGAAGCGAAGCGGTGCCATGCGCGCGGGAAACCAACGAGCGCCACCCAGCGTGTACGCTGCAGAAGTTGATGTCAATGGACAACCTGACGTCGGTCTCCAGTTGCATTGCCCCCGATATTATTTTGTCCCGCCATTTCGCTGCCAAAAGCGCAGAACCCGCGGCAATGGATATACAATGTATGCAATATGAGAGGTTCCAACACGCTATAATCGACATACGAGCGGGCCGTGAGGTGCCACAAGCGGCGCCGCGTGAGCTTTCTGGTGTCGCCGTCGTCTGCAACACGGGGCCTGATGGTGCCGAGAACGAACATGAGGTCACGGTCCATGCTCCCGTGTCTCCCGTAGAGCCCATCATGGGCGATATACCATTATTCTGTGGCAAGTGCAATATGAAACTGACTGCACGAGCTGCGTTTGACGCCATACACTGTCTTCGAATACACTGTGTAGGGCTGCTGCGGCCTTTCTACGCGGAGATATCAGGCCAACTCGGCTGGTTACCTAAAGTCGACATCAAAATGGGAAGCGCGATGCAGTGGTGCCACGTCATTACACAGTCATCGATCCACACCTCGAGGCCACGCTGCAACGATCCGATCTCAACTGCATCCTACCAATAAATGAGTAGTGCGGTGGTCGAGATTAGGGCCGTGGGTTTCTACCTAATTCGCATGGAAAGTCTTTGGCAGAGGGGGCGTCCCGTGCGATATATATGACCACACGAGCCGAATCGTCGACAAGGGCAGCGCTCTATGAACAATGCGGCTCGTGCGGCTGCCCAAAGCAATGTCAACCACGACTCCGGCGTCGGTATACGGCTCTGCACGTGATATACACCGGACCCAAAGGTGTGTTCCAGCTCCATGTGCACAGCATGGACTTGCCGGGATGATCACGACAGGGCTTCATGATTTGGTTACTACTAGTACGTACTGTACTTCTGCACAAGCAATCGATCGCGTCTGACTTAGCTAGTCACGGGATGTAGCTGTCAGGACGATCACGTAGAGTCGTTGTTAGTACCATTGGTAGTCGTGGGGTGGCGTCGACGACTTGCGCGTGGCCAAGGCGTCGGCCGTCGCTTGCGCATCGTCGAGCGCCGAGCGAAGCATGGCGTTCGTGGTCTCGAGGTGCGCGATGCGGGCGAGAAGGTGCGTCATGATGGTGCTGCTAACCGCTGCGTCTTGCTGGGTGCGGTGCCCAGAGCGAGAACGTTGGCGACGACGCTTCTCGAGGTGGCGGATGGTCGCGTCGCGACGGGCCACACGCATTACCGCGGCAGCAAGCTTCTCGCGCAGCGAGTGCACGGTTATACGGTATGCGTTCATCTCTTCCACGCATGGCGGCGCGTACAGCCGAGCAGACGTTTCCGCAGTGCAAGAGAGGCTTCGTCCACGCGCACGCAGAGGCACCGGGAAGCCTACCACGGCCTCGGATGCGACGTTGGACATCGACGTGTGCCCTTTCTTGGTGCATGTCTCGTTGAAGCCCGTTGCACGACGCGCATGACTGTCGATCGGTGCAGTCGCGGTCGAGGCAGCCGGTGGCGCACGGGGTGCGGTATCGCGAATGTAGAGCCGAGCGGCCATGGATGCTAGGTCCGTAGCGGAGTCGATCGTCAAACTAGGTTGGGCCATTGCAGGCAAATCGCGGAATGAGCCGATGCTAGGACCCTTTCGAGCCCTCCCTGTCGCTCCGGAAAGGGCAGGCATGGAACCAAGCGGCTACGCGTCGCCGGCCTGCGCGTCCGAGACAATAGACATAGAGAGAGGGAGGCTCGGATAAGCGCGCGTGGCGACCGACGCCGGGCGGCTCCATGGAGCATGGAGGTGGATGGCGGCCGAGGCTCGGATCGCGGATCTCGACTGTGTGGAAAATGGAATCGACAAGCGGATTGGCTGTATAATGAAAGTATTTTGGCCAATAAGCAGACCTTTGTCGTCTACCTCTCATAGTCAATGGTTTGAAACATGTATTGTAACAGGTTTGGCGACGCGGACAGTCCGAAGCTGCGACAGATGTGTCAACCTGCCCTCACTCTAAGCTTATATCATATGTGTCGTCGACTCTGCTCTGAAGTGACTTTGAGATAGCCAAGGTAAAAGCGCGTCGTTCGTCGTTGCTAGCGCTCTGGGAGGCCCGGAAGGTGCCAAAGCATGAAGATGATGTACGTCTACCACGGCAGTGCAGTTGGGAAGAACTGCTATTACACTAGTACTAGTATAATGGAATGGCGATGGGCTCGGACTTGCCTGTGAAAGTGTTTGCAGGCTTTTCTAGGTGCATCAATTCATGATTTATCCACAACGAGGTAGCCTCGTATTGACTCCAAGGATCCGAACGAAATTGAATAGCTCATGCCGCACGGGGCTGCTGCAGTGGTCGCTGGACACGGAGCTAGAGCCATACAAGCCCCCTGTCCGTATACGTATACCACATCCAACCGCGTCGATGACACGCCTTGTTGTCGGTGTGTTTGAGCTTTGAAGAAAGTTTGACGAGCAGACTCGCGAGATTCTTGTGGTAGATAGGCAAGCCGCCGCACCATCAGTGTGGCGGCGTCACGTGTGTTGATGGGAGCATGGCGAGAAGCTTGTCTTCGATTGCCGAGTCGAGCGACCGAGGCTCGCTTGCTTGCGAGGACCAAGCTACTACAGGCTACAATGCTTCATTCCGTATAAAGCAGCGTGTGCTAGTGGAGCCATCTACACCCGGCGGCCGCCAAGAGCTATCGCGGATTCGAGTCTCTTGCCAGTGCTAACGAGCAGAGTGTAAGAAGGTTTGTTCGTCGATGGCCGTCGCTACCGTCGCGTGACGTCATGAGTCCCAAGATACCCGATGCTGGCTTTTCATTGGCTGCATGTTTGTCGGTTATAAAGCTTCACTAGCGGACTTGAAGTTGGCTGCATACGTAAACGGTGGGCGCATGGCGTCTGCGGTCAATCCTCATCTTCCAAGCCGCTCCGAT